GGCATCTGTGCCCTGATGCATAGCTACCTTAAACGCTTTATTAAGTGGATGAGTGCTGTTCGTAGCTCTTCTCTTCTCTGTTTTGTTTTGTTTTTTTAATTACATTTTCTTTCTTTCCGTTTTTTTGTTTTTCAAGACCAAGGTTTCTCTCCTGAAACTCACTCTGTAGACCAGGCTAGCCTCAAGCTCAGAGATCTGCCTGCCTCTGTCTCCTGAGTGCTGGGATTAAAGACGTGCGCCACCACCGCCCACCTTAATTACATTCTCTAGTATGGAGGGTTTTGAACATAGAAGCAAATAGATATTGAGCCTCAAAGAGCTTCAAAAATCATCCATCTTAGCTCATCTTATTCAGATGTGTTTAGTCTAGAACATTTGAAAGCCACAATCACAGTATCTAAAGGCCCACACTACAGGCAAATGGAGATCTTGAGGGAGTAGCATAGATCTACTGGTCCCTGCATAGGACACTTCTCAGGTCTGCAGAGCCCTGCCACACCACCCTGTGACTGGGTAACCCTGGATTCCCACATCCCCACCTACAGGGACTCTTGTCAGCAGCACAAGTTCAAAGAGACCGAAGACCACGTCCCAGCTTTAGACTTATTATTCTGGGTAATTTATTCTTGCTTAACCTTGATTCTTGTTTGTACAGTGGAACAGTCACTGATCTACACACTACCTCAGAGTTTTGAGAGAATGAAACAAGACAATAAAAAGTGATGGACCTACCAGAGTCCCAGGCGCTCACTTAATTACTGCTTAGGATGGATTTGCTTCAAGGGTTTTGTATTGTTGCCTCTATGAAAAGTTTTATTTTTACCTCATATTTTTAGTATTTTCTCCCATTAATTTCAAAGGCAGCTCCTGGGGTGTGGCCTTTCTCATTGTAATTTCTTGGAGATCAGATGAAATTGTGTCCCCAGAGATATCTGTAAGATAATGGCACTAGGTAGAGTCCCATGCTCTCTCTACTGGAGTCTATGGGCTTGGCCTTGTCTTCTTTTCCTCCATCCTGTGACCCATCTTAGTCAGAGAAAAGGGCTTCTGTGAGCTCCCTCCAGCCCTGTGGAGCCAGGACAAGGAGTGCTGCACAGTGGACACGGCTTCACGGGGGGGGGGGGGGGGAGTGATGAGCAGGGATTTCAAATCCTCAATAATCCCCATGTATACATACCTACCTCAGTGCCCCGGGTCCCTGATGGTGTTTTAGATGCTCAGGTCCCTTGTCCTCATGTGTATTTGTCTCTCTGAAGCTGTCCTTCCCACCAGGTTCCTGAACCCTCTCTCCCCCAGCTCCCAGTCTCCACACCCAGTCTCTACAGGCATAGGTTAGAGAGCTCGCTGCCCTCTTCCCATCCCTTCTTCAGCATCCTCCTCCTCCCAACCAGCAGTCCTCCGGCTCCAGCCTTGGGAGGCAGGGACACTGGGTGGCACAGCCGCTGCTGCCAAAGCTCAGTCTTCAAGTGGGAAAAGACCGTGACTGTGAATCAATTGATGTTCTCTGTAACCAGTGGGGTAACAAACCGGCTCAGAAGAAATTTCTACATAACTGTGAGGAGGAGGGGGAGGAGGGGGAGGAAGGGGAGGAAGGGAAAGGCCGGGAGTGTGTGAAAAAGGCTGAGATATGCCAGGTTAGATACAAAGTTGATAACGTCCACAGGACACAAAGTTGCAAAATTTCCCTGCCAAACAAAAATTATTTTCCTTTTCCAACAAGTCTCATTTACATCTTACCAGTTTTTTTTTTTAATCAGTCAGTTCCTAACATCAGAGGGCAGCTGCCCCATTCACTGGAAAGAGTATTATCAGAGACTCTCGGACATTGTTATTGACTTAACACTATAGCAGCATTATCTATTATAAATACAGTGCAGGCCACATGTAAGATTTTCTAGTTACAACTTCTTAGAAAAAGAATAAGTACAATTAATGATGAATATATATATATTCTTTTTTTAAAGATTTATTTATTTATTATGTATGCAACATTCTGCCTCTGTGTATGCCTGCAGGCCAGAAGAGGGCACCAGATCTCATTGCAGATGGCTGTGAGCCATCATGTGGTTGCTGGGAATTGAACTCAGGATCTCTGAAAGAGCAGCCAGTGCTCTTAACCTCTGAGCTATCTCTCCAGCCATATATATATATTCTTTAATCCAATGTATCTGTGTATCTGAACTATTATTGTTCCAATGTGATCAAAAATTACTGAGGTTTTTTTCGGGGGAAGTGAAGTTCATGTAGCTCAGGCTAGCCTTAAACTCACTGTGTAGCTGAGGCTAGCCTTGAGCTCCTGATCTTCCTTCCTGTACCCACTGAGTGCTGAGATTACAGGTATGCACTGCCATACCCAGCTAACTCCTGAAGCAGCTTTTGGGGGGGGGTTGGTTTTTGGAGACAAGATTTCTCTGTGTAACCCTGACGGTCCTAGAACTCATTTTGTAGACCAGACTGGCCTCAAACTCACTGAGATCTACCTGCTCCTGCTGGGATTAAAGGTGTGCACCACCACCACCCAGAATTTTTTTTTTTGGATGAGTTATTTTATAATCTTTTTTTCCTAAGTGTTTGAAATTCAATATGCATTTCATACTTGCAGTACATCTCAGATGGAGACTGACCACATTCCAAGAGGCTCAGTGCTATAGAGAACTTCAGAGAACACAGACGGTGGGCCCCAGCAAAACTGTTTAGACTCAGCAGGTCTAGCTATGGCAGAGCTACGGAGAGCTTCTGCACTCCGACCAAGTTTCCTTGCAATGTTGTTGGTCTGGATGCTTTCTGAAAACCGTGGTTACATTAACACCCCTCCAGGTAACAGTGCACAGAGTAGCACTTGGTCGTGGTACCCACCTCTCATCCACATTCCATCCACATCGCAGGAACCCTTCCTCCCAGCCCTACAGGGTTGGGAGTTGGGTACCATGAGCAAGTGTGGATACTAAGAAAGTACCTTTTGGGTCATCCCATCGCCATCATGCTGGCCATATCATCCATGGTATTCAGGAGTTAACATGAATTCTCTCAGCACAGTGACTGTGTCCAGTCTGAGATGTTTCCCTCCTTCTAGCCCCTGCTAAAGCATGCTGTGTACTGAAAATTAATGAACCAGCCTGTACTCTGCCTAGGGAGCTGATACACTACCCATTCGAGTGTGGGACATGTATGAGGACTTTGTATGTATGAGGCTCTCGGGCATTTATTTCCTACAATGTCTTAATAGGTGAGAACTGTGTATAAACAGCATCTAGGTGGCTACAATATGTACTATTTCAGAATATCACCCTAATTTTAGAGCCTTATGTGCTGTTTATTGTAAGAAACAGCATAGTAAAAATGCCTTCCAAATAACTAAGTATATTGGGAACACTAACTAGAAGAGCCTACTAGATGCCTAGGAAGCCATGCTGCATGCCAAGAACCTTCATGGACCTAGCTCTTGCCCTCTACATGTAGAGCATGTCCAAAGATGCTCGCAGAGTCTCATAGGGCAAAGGAACACATTATAGTATTTGCATTTTCAGTGGCTAAAGTTTTGTCCATGCTTACTGATGTGTGGCTTCCTGCCAACTATTTGGAAGACTGGAAGATTAGCCTCTTCATGGCGTATGCTGTGGTGTTTGTTGTTGTTTCTTGCTTACCAATTATATGAGGGAAAAAAAGGGCTGGGTGGTGGTGGCGCACATCTTTAATCCCAGCATTTGGGAGGCAGAGGCAGGTGGCTCTCTAAAAGTTTGAGGCCAGCCTGGTCTACAAAAGAATCCCAGGACAGCCAGGATTACACAGAGAAACCCTGTCTCAAAACCAAACAAATAAACGAGCTAGTTTGCATATCTGCATGGTGTATGTGTATATGGTAAGTATGTGCTCCCTGTTACCAGGTTGTCTGTGTATAATAAATATAAAATCTGTAGAAGAGGAATCTGCTGAGGGGGATGTCATTCTCAATGACAGTTTTTAAAATCATATGCAACACAAGTAGGTGTATTATTTTCGATATTCGTGCTATTCATATACCCTGAGGGATGGATCCATGACACACATGATGGGCATAGGCTCATGCATGCATTGTTCTGCTCAGAATCTGGAGGGGGGGTTGTTTGTTTGGTTGTTGTTTGTTTTTGTTTTTGAGACAGAATTTCTCTGTGTAGCCCTGGCTGTCCTGGAACTCACTCTATAGACAAGGCTGGCCTCGAACTCACAGAGATCCACCAGACTCTGCCTCCCTGAGTGCTGGGATTAAAGGCATGCGCCTCCACTGCCTGGCTCTATGTAGTCTTGATTGGCCTAAACTCATTATGTAGATCAGGCTGGTTTCAAACTCACAGAGATCCACCTGCCTCTGCCCTCCAAATGCTGATATTAAAGGTGTGTGTCACCACCGCCCAGCCTCATGTTTGATGAGTGTAGGTCATATGTGAAATATATGCTTGTGTTATGACTATATCTTGTGAGTAATAATAAACAAAGCATATGCATTATCTGTAATGGCACAGTTTGTGTCGAATATATATTGTGTAGGTGACAGTCATCATCTGGGGAGGAGATGTGTTTTATTACAGATACATTGTGTATGGTGGGCACAGACTATGACAGATATACATGGTAAAAGGTTTTCATTCGGTATTGGGCATATGTAAGTATAACTACATGTGGAATATACATAGTATGTGTGGTAGGTACACAGACATACTGTAGACTTTATGATTGACACCTCCTGTGATGGATATACACTGTGCAGGTATATAAATACACACTTTATAGACAAATAAGCAGTGTGTGCGTCTGTGTAATAAGGTGGTCCTGGTGATGGATCTGTTTGGTCCATCTCAGGCACCCTGTGTGCACACAGCTTGAGATAGGAATATGGAGTGTGCACCTGTGTGTAAGCAAACAAGGGGTGTCACTGGGCTGGGAGGAGGCATGGCAGGGAGCCATGTTCTTCATCTGTTTACAGAACCCCCAGACCTCTGAGCCTCCAAACCTCACTGTTTCAGGTTCTTCCTCAAATTCTTTCTCAAATGCAACCAGAACTGCTTGAAGAATGCAGGGAATCCCCGAGACATGCGCCGCTTCCAGGTAGGCTTGGGAAAAGCCCTCTCACCCCACGCAAATCTACCCTTTCCTGATAGGTGAAGGGAAAGCTGTGACCCTGCCAGAGCAGATCTCTGCCTAGCCCTGAGCCTCAGGGTCTGGTGCCTGCTGGGGGTGGGGCAGCTCCATCTCAACTTATGCTGGCTGCCAAGGGAGGCTTCATTAGAGTCCCACTTAAGAAGATGCTAATTGTGACATTTTTACATGATTAACGACCCAGGTAATTTGCATAGTGTGAAGCTGAGAACAGCTGCCCTCAGCACCTCCCCAACCTGCACACCCCTCCCAAAGCAGGGGGTAGGGAGAAGGCAGCACCGATTTCCTGCCCAGAATAAAGTGGGGGCTTCTGTTGATGGGTTCTGTAACTGATTTGAGCCCCAACTTTAGGAAGGCATTCCTGTCTCCAAACTTGAATGATACTGAATAGCGTTCCCGGGTGTGCAAAAATCAACGGGCGGTTCTCGCTGCCTGTGGAGCTACAACTTTTTCAGGGCTTTTGATTTTTGTAGCTCCTGAGAGGTCAGTTCATCTGGGGGGGTGCCACCTGGTTCAGCTGGATTCAACTCTACCAGCACAGCCCCCACCCAACTGAACTTGCCCTCACCTAAGGACACTCTGAATTCCAGTCACCCACCTCCAGGTGCTAGTTTTCCCTAACAGGGCCCCAGCCAGACTGTCTTCTCTGTCCACACAGGTGGTGGTGTCCACGACTGTAAGTGTGGACGGACACGTGCTGGCCGTGTCTGACAACATGTTTGTGCACAACAACTCCAAACATGGCCGCAGGGCCCGGCGCCTGGATCCTTCTGAAGGTCAGGACTCCCGGCCCAGCCTTGGCCAACCTCAGTCTCCATCTTGGTGCAGCCCCCTGACCTGGGTCCTCTCCTACCTCCCAGCTGCTACCCCCTGCATCAAGGCCATCAGCCCCGGGGAGGGCTGGACCACGGGAGGCGCCACCGTCATTATCATCGGAGACAACTTCTTCGACGGGTTGCAGGTCGTGTTTGGCAGCGTGCTCCTGTGGAGCGAGGTGGGCCAACCCCTGCCGGGCTCCCTCCGGTCTCCCTGAGTCTCAGGGCTAGGCCCCCCCCACAGGACTAGACCTGCAGGCCTCCCCTTCCTCTCACAGCTCATCACGCCCCACGCTATCCGGGTGCAGACGCCACCGCGACACATCCCTGGGGTGGTAGAAGTGACCCTCTCCTACAAATCCAAGCAGTTTTGTAAAGGAGCCCCCGGCCGCTTTGTCTACACAGGTAAGGAATAAGGCAGCTGAGGCAGGGACTAAGATCCACAGAGAGAACCCTCTGAGCTCAGAACTCAAACGCAGTTGCAGGGGTTGACCGAAATCTACGGGTGCACTACATGCCCGAAGCAGCTGCTCCTCACCCCCCCCCCCCCCACCGTCTCCCACACCTACTAAGTGATCTCTCAAAGTTCTTTTTCCTCTTGGCCTATGTTTCTCTCCCTGAGTTTCTGGTACCTTGGAAGCAACTTCTGCCTCAAGTGTTCTCCCCAAGGGATGTCTCTCCTTCCTAGCCATGTCCAGAACCTCTTCGAGGGTTTTCTTTTTGTTTTCTTTTGTTTCGATTTTTTACCTCTAAGATGCTTCCAAATGGACTCACTACTCTCCAAATTTTTCCTGGGTATCTTAGGTCTTCCAGGCTGCACTCTACGTCCACACAGTGGTGTGTGAGCCCACAGATACATACACACCCTTGTACAGTGCCTCGGTGAACAGTTAGTACAAGGCTCAAGGGGATGTACTGAAAACTGGGTTCCATTTGACCCCTGGCGGAAATCCTCATTTACTGCCATTTTTGCATCTGACCCTCCCCCCCACCCCCAAGCCACTGGCTTCTCCCCATACTCACTGAGGCATGTGGGCTCAGGATACCCTCAGGTCGCAGGTATCCTGAACTGCGAACCCAGGATGGGTGGGAGGTGGAGTTACAGAGTAGAGGACTTGACAAAGGAAAACCCACCCCTGGGAGTCTGTGCTGAACGAGCTAAGCTCACGTTAACTACAGAGGAACAGAGAGGGAGACCGGCCAGAGCAAAGCCCAGGAAGTGTGCACGCCATTCTTTGGGGAAAGGAGAGGAAACTGACTAAGTCTAGCATTGGAAGTGAAGATAGAGCTTTGAGACCAGGGAGAAGTAAGGCGCTTAAGGGGGAAGAGGAGAGGGGAGTCGGGGGTGGAGCATTGTGTCCTCCTGAGAGCCCATGGTTTTGGCCCCTCCCTTTCCTGAGGTACATGCAAACCTTGATAATTGCATGCTGCGGAGAAGCTGCCTAATCCATGATAAATATTATTAAGTTTTTTAAAATGGCAAACTGATATGACCAAATGCAAAAATCCCAAGTCCTGCCACTAGAAATATAGAAGTGTGTGTGTGTGTGTGTGTGTGTGTGTGTGTGTGTGTGTGTGTGTTGATGCCAAGCTTGGCACACAGCCTGGCTCAGTAAATATTTGTTGCATTAATTCTGACCAAATAAATTGAAGGAACTGAGATGACTCCCCTGACGTTCGCTGATATTTGAGCAAGGATTTTTCTGGGCAACATGGGGCTGGACTTGGGGGAAGTAAGTTCTGTTCCGGGAGGGGTGTCTTCCAAATATTGCCTTTCTCCGCAGCTCTTAATGAGCCTACCATTGACTACGGATTCCAGAGGCTACAAAAAGTCATTCCCAGACACCCGGGGGACCCCGAGAGGCTGCCTAAGGTACTCAGAGGGGTGGGTCGGGAATAAGGATGTCCAGTGGGCAGGGGGATGAGGAAGCCCCTCCAGGGCCCCTCTGCGCCCCAGGGGCTGCCCCTCGGTCCTTCTGTCTCCTCCCCTGCCCTAGGAAGTGCTGCTGAAACGGGCGGCTGATTTGGCAGAGGCCCTGTACGGAGTGCCCAGCAGTAACCAGGTATGGTGCCTCGGCCCGCCTCCCAGCACTAGTGCCCGGGGCTCTGATCCCGCGCCTGCCGCTGCCCCGGCCGTGCCCCCTTCTTGTCTTCGCAGGAGCTCCTCCTGAAGCGTGCAGCGGACGTGGCCGAGGCTCTGTACAGCGCCCCGCGAGCACCTGCACCCCTCGGACCCCTGGCCCCCAGTCACCCACACCCCGCCGTCGTGGGCATCAACGCCTTCAGCAGCCCCCTGGCCATCGCCGTCGGGGACGCCACCCCGGAGCCGGGTGCGTGTTGCCACCCCTGCCCTCAGTTGCGGTGCACCAGAAGAGCCCCGCGCCACTAGCTGGGCTAACAGCCACTCTCCCGCAGGCTATGCCCGCAGCTGCGGCAGTGCGTCGCCCAGGTTCGCGCCCAGCCCTGGCTCTCAGCAGAGCAGCTATGGCAGTGGCCTTGGAGCTGGTCTCGGCAGCTACGGTGCGCCGAGTGTCACTGGTCTCGGCGTGCCCGGGTCCCCTAGCTTCCTCAATGGCTCCACCGCAACCTCACCTTTCGCCAGTGAGTGTCCCCAGCCCACAGGAAGGGGGTGGGGCCAGCCTGGGAATGCAGAGTAGACGCAGCCCTGCCTGCAGCCCATTCTAGGGTGAGGGCTTCCAGTTCCTGCCTTATGCGGGGGGGACCTTGACCTAACCATGGAGAGCCCTCAGTCCTCCTTCCATATGCCCACTCCCTGATTTGGGGCCTTGCCTCACTCCTCGGGGAGCCCCGGGATCGTGGGGCCAAACTTCTTTCACCTTAAGCCCTCTTTGCTGACCCCAGTTGTACACATCGCTTCTAGCCCTCCCATGATTGTGGAGCCGCCCTTAATTAGGGGGACCTGTGCTGAAACCTGGTGGACAGCAACCTTTTGGTCCTTCGCCGGGACTTCGGGAGGAGGCTGGCGGCCCCTGCTGGAAGCCTAAGGAAACTCTAGAGACTCGGGCTTCCAGCGCCCCGCAGCCCCGGGATGTGTGGCTCCGGGTTTCAGCAGCACTTCCTGGGGCAGGGGAGGAAACGGTGGACCGAGTGGCGGCCCCTAGGGGCTCGGCGGGGCCCTGGAGGAGCTTCCTCACCCCCTCACCCATAGGACACTGATTCCTGTCCCGTCCCTCTGAGTGCCTTGGGCAGTCTCAGGTTCTCCCAAATGGTTCAGGCATAATGAGAATTCCTTGTGATCAGGACTGAGTTCTGAATTCAGAATTGAGTGTTTTAGTCAGGAGCTGACAGACATTCAACAGGTTGCACCTTTCAGTAAAACAAGATTAGCAATACCTCCCCACCCCCCGGCCCCCACCTCAGATAGCTCTCTTATCTGAATGTGTCTCTAGAAAACCAGACAAAATTCAGAAAGAATGCTATGATTTTGTAGGCCCAGTCTGAACGGTAGTTGCTTGGCGTCTTGGGTTAAGGTAGCTCTCTGATAGATGGATCGACGGTGGATTTTTATGCCTTGTCATTTCACACTGCCTGCCAGTCTGTTGCAATATCGATGGCTTCTTGGCGGGTGCTTATAATCTACATGGTGAGAAAGCACCAAGCTTGGGGGTTCTCTGTGCACCCATTTTCACCAGCAAGAACCTCTTTACCAGTCACAAGAGAGGTTGTCCCTGGAGGCCTGGGGCACTACTGAATCTGAGAAATAGTGACATCTGCCAAAGAAGGAGCTTTTGTGGCTTTACCTGCCGTTCCCACGCTCCTGCCTCTCCATTCCCGTCTGTTTTTCATTACCTAAAATAACCGTCTAGCTACCTGCCTAGCTTTCTTTACCACGGGTGCTGCTCTCACTGGCTACAAATCCAGCCTGGCACTTTCCTTTGACCTTGACTTAATTTGTGGAACCCAACATCACCCCCCACCCAAGCCAGAGTCCACACAGGCTGTAGCCTTCCTGTGTGTCCCCCCAGGCCAATCTCTCCTGGCACTTAGTCAGCTTCCACTGCTCCACATCCCTTCCGTTCTAAGACAGTGGCCTCCCAGCCTTCTGGTTTCCGTTGTGTTTGACTCTCTCGCCCTTCCCCAGAGACACAGCAGTGAAAAGGAGTGAAAGGGGGCTGCCCCAGTGCACAGTCTCTCTGGGGTCACCCTAGTCAGCCAGACCAGGACTTCCAGAGCCACTCACCCTCTGCAGGGTCACTCGGGGCGCTACCTAGGCCTGGTCCCATTTCAGAAAGTGTTTACTCAGGTCCACATCCATTCTCCTGAGTGCTCTGTGACACACTTACATAGGGTGTCATCCTCACTGAGTTTGCCCGGATTTCCCTAAAATGTCATCAGAATTGTACTAGTCAGAGGATCTAGGGCTGTCTTTGTAGAACTCCTTAACTCTGAAAAATGTGGCTATTAGTACTCTGGGCCTTGGCAGATACCACAAATATTCTTTTTTATATAATAGGTGTTAAGCACTCCGTAATGCCCAGGTCTTTACCAGGAAGCACTGAGCATTTTTCTCAAGGAGATGGTGACCGCAGGCTAAGGATGTTGAGGATAGGATACTATTGCAGTCATTTTTATACCCACAGTCAGCAAATGAGTGTTCTGATGTCAACGTAGCCTTCTCAGCCACAGATTTCTTCCAGGAAGTCTGTACCTGCTGTCCCTTGCCTGCTGGTTGGAAAAGATTAAAAATCCTACCTGCTGGTCTTTAGAAGAGAGAAGCAGGGAATTGGTTCAGATGAAAACATAGAAGGTGGAACTGAGATGCGCTACACAGGAGCCCTAGCAGATACAAGAGGCTCCAGGGGTCCAGGCCGAAGATGGCAGGGCCTTGAATTAAAGTGGAAGAAAGAGTGCCCAGAGTTGGGGAGCAGAAAAACGAAGTACGGGGTACATTGCATAGGAGTGTTCAGTAGAGATGAACGTAGGTGCTTGTGTGAGCTGTTGTTCGTGGTAGAGCAGCTGTAGACAGGAGGGTGCATATAGGCTGCATCGACGCCAAAACTTCATCCCTGTCTACTTACTCCGACTTTGATGTGGCCCTTGAACTTTGAGCGTAGCCTTGGCAGCGCAGCCCCATAAACATTTCCTAGCGTTTCAGAACTCCAGTGGCGTTCAGCAGGAACTCCACCTTTCCATCTCTTTCGATTGTCTCCCATCTTTGAGAGCACTGCCCACTACTTGTTTTTGTTTGTTTCGTTTTCCCTGTGCCTGATCCTGCCTTCTCCAGCCCTGAAAATGGTATTCAGAACACTGAAAAGGCTCGGGCTGGTCCAGCACCCAGCAGCCCCCTTCTTACCTCTAGACATCTTGTCCTGGTCTTCTCAGGACCCTCATAGCCCCCAGGGAGCTCTGAGCCTGCAGCCTGGTCCACAACCCACACGGGACTCACTGCCCACGTTGCACCCCAACCCTGCTGCTCACTCTGGTGCTGTCTTCCTGTTGTGTCTCCCACTGCCTCCCCTGCTGCACCTGCCCCTTCCTCGCCCCGTCCCGGAGTCATGCCCTCTAGCCCCCCGCTGGCGGCTGCCTCCTCCATGTCCCTCCCGGCCGCTGCCCCCACCACCAGCGTCTTCTCCTTCTCGCCTGTCAACATGATCTCCGCTGTCAAACAGAGGAGCGCCTTCGCCCCTGTGCTGCGCCCACCCAGCTCCCCATCGCAGGCCTGCCCCAGAGCCCACAGAGAAGGGCTTCCAGGTGAGCAATCAAGGCTGCCTCACAGTGGCCTGAGGGAAGGCCTGCCACATCAGGTCTTCACCAGTGTCCCATGCAGGACCCAGCAAGAGGTTCTGTGGGGGTCCAGGAAGGCCGTCTGAACTCCGCTTCCTTGAAACTTGAGCCTTAAAGTTAGATGTGCCCTGGCCTTTGTCTAGACCCATTCAGCTGGCCACTTGGCCAAGGAGATTGAAATTCCAATTGGAAAAAGTCTCAGTAGTCCAGCCCTGTTCAATAGAGCCTAGAACAAAGACCTAACCCTACGAGATGAAGGAACCCATATAGATTGCATGTCTTTCTCCTGTGTCCACCAGAGGGACTTACCACGTTGATGCTGGGTTACCTAATGAACAAGAGGGCACTGACCTTGAATAAGGGTTAGCCTCACTTCCCTTTTCCCGATGTACAGACTAGGAATTAAGAACGCGTCCCCCTCCTGTGTCCCAGTAGTGAAAGGGACATTCTCTCGTTTTACACACAGGCAGCAGATACTTTCAGCCCACAGAGCTTTCCCCACCCAAACAGTCACTGGAAGCTCGGTAGAGATGACTGTGGGGAAGGAGGTAAAAGTAACAGGATGTGGGCTAGAGCAAGTCCCAGTTGGGAGGGATAGCTGGGGGCGGAGCTAGATGAGACTGTCATGTTCAAGACTGGCAGGTGTTCATGATGAAGCTACAGGGATGTCTGGAAGGATCTCCTGGGACCCAAAGCAGAGCTTAGCCCCGAGCTCAGCGCCTGGCTTGGCACCTATCCCATCCATAGTTGGTGCTTAAAAATTAGAAGTTATGTAACATGAGGGCCAGCTTGTTGGGGTATCTATCCCGCCCAGCACCCCAACAAGTCGGCAAACCCCAAAGAAAACCAATCACACAGAGATCTCTATAAGTTATAAAGCTGATTGACCCATTAGGTCAGGCTTCTTGTTAACTCTTATAACTTACGTTACCCCATTATTCTTATCTACGTTAGCCACATGGGCTCAGTACCTTTCTCAGTGTGACAGCTTACATGTCGCCGCTTTGGTGGTCTGGACAGGAATGGCTGAGGGAGTTTCCTCCTCCCTAGCTTTATCCTATTCTCATTGCCCTGCCTCTACTTCCTGTCTGGTTGACCCGCCTCTACTTCCTGCCTGGCCAATCAGCGTTTTATTAAAATACATGATTGACAGAATACAGACAATTCTCTCGCACCAGAGTTAGATTCTTAGGTGAGTATGGGGTCAGAAGGCCCCTGTCAAGTGCAGAAACCTCTCGAAGTTGCAGTGTGATGGACAAGTGAGCCGACAGAGGCTGGGGTAGATCACGCCCTACAGGATTGTCTCCCAGATAGTAATGGTCATTCCTCAGGGAAGAATCCGTGTTCGTTAGTAAATGGTGATATTCATCCAGTTTTCAGTAAACTGAACTACACTGTGAATCTTCGAACAATCATATTTATTAGAGCACAGATTTTATTTATTTATTCATTCATTTATTTTTTTTTTGAGACAAGCCCTGGCTGGCCTCGAATTCACAAAGATCCACCTGTCTCTGCCTCCTGAGTGCTGGGATTAAAGGTGTGTGGCACCATGCCCGGCACAAAATTTATCTTAAAAAAGAACACCTTGGGCATCAGTTCCTGGGAATTATCTTTGGGGCTTAGGAGAGATACCCTTGTCGTCTTCTAAATATGATATGACTTGCTGAGGCCAACATAGTCATGGAAGCCAAGCCTCTGTGCTAACCCACAGTCGTCCTTCAACCCCAAGCAGGATGAACTTGGGGAACTGTAGACCGCACCCTAAAAGGCATCTGAGCCCTGCAATTCTCTTTATGAGACTCTGGGGACACTGGAAGGAGTGTGAAGCACTCTTGGGGCACAAGAAGACAGCTAAGGAAGCCAAATACACACAGTAGTTAGAGGATCTACCTGACCACCAGGAAAACTGACTATAGTGGAGGGTGGTCCAGAAACCCTCGGTAGTCCAGAAAAACTAGCTGTAGTGGAGGATGGTGCAGCAACCCACTGTGGTCTGGAAATTTTCTGCTGTGCTCTGCCCTACTCTGCAGATAGAATGAGTTTTCTTTCCCTCTGCAGACTGTTCCTCTGGACAATCCAGATAGCTCTGAGGTGGTGGTTCAACTAATTCCAAACTTATATACAGGGGAAGAGGGTTGGAAGACTAGTTGATGTGCCATCCACAGAATGAACTGCTGTCAAGAAAGGTCTTGCCCAAGCAGGGATTGAAGAATTAATACCTGCCGGGCAGTGGTGGCACATGCCTTTAATCCCAGCACTTGGGAGGCAGAGACAGGCAGATCTCTGAGTTCGAGACCAGCCTGGGCTACAAGAGCTAGTTCCAGGACAGGCTCCAAAGCTATAGAGAAACCCTGTCTCAAAAAAACAAAAAACAAAACAAAAAAAGAATTCCTTTTCTGGGGGAGGAGGCCCCAGCAAGGTGTGTAGAGAGGGAAGCTTCCAGGTGCACTGATATAGAAACCCATTTGCAAAGTAATAGAAGATAAGTTATATGGGTAAATGTAAAAAAAAACTTAACTCATGAATGAGCTAACAGGGTGACTAAGTGACTTAAAGAATACATGAGGGCTGGGCAGAGGTGGCGCACACCTTTAATCCCAGCACTCGAGAGGCAGAGGCAAGCGGATCTCTGTGAGTTCGAGGTCAGCCTGGTCTACAAGAGCTACTTCCAGGACAGGCTCCAAAACTACAGAGAAATCCTGTCTTGGAAACAAACAAACAACAGAAAAAAAAAAAAAGAATACGTGAGGACTGGGGGAGATGGCTGGGAGGTTAAAGCTCTTAAACATGAAGACCACAGTTTTGATTCCCCAGAACACAGACAAACGCTGGGTGGGCCTGGCAGCCTGCCCGCCATGTCAGAAAGGTGGAGTTGGGGATCCCAGAACTTAAAAAGCCGAGAAAGATCTAAAGTTCAAAAACAGCCTGGGTCATATAGCAGGACCCTGTTCCCAACTCCCACCCCCTGAAGGCACAGCACCCGTTTTCTTGGTCTTATTTCCAACATTTGAATAATTTGTCCTAACGTGTGTGTGTGTGTGTGTGTGTGTGTGTGTGTGTGTGTGTGTGTGTGTGTGTAGCTTAAAATGTGAGAGATGGGGAAGACAGGACTCCAGAGTCCTGCCAGCTCAAAGAAAGGAACCAGTAGGGTGGGAACCAGTGAACTGGCGTATTTCCCACCTGTGGGTGACAGACAGGATGCTGCTGTGTATGTGGATCAGTGCACCTGGAAGCCGCCTTTCCTTACTGTCCTGGTCCTCATCCATTTGCTTCCTCACCTTGCCACAGGCCTTCTGAGGAAGGTGGGTCTGGGCTTGGGAGATGAGCTGAGCAAAGCCTTTACTGTCCAGGCATGAGCCACTGAGTTCAGATGCCTAACTTCCACATAAAAGCTGAGTGTGGTGGGACACACCTGTCACCTCAGCCCTGGGACAGACAAGCAGATACCCAAGTCTACCTGGAAAATAATGGCAAGTTCCAGTTTCAGTGAGGGACCCTGTCTCGAAAATTAAGTGGAGGGAGACCCCCAGAGCCAACCTCTGGCCTTCACCACACGCATGCACAGGTTGGCCCACTTACATGCACATATATACACCACAGACACAGGCACACAGTTATATGTTACATATGGGGGTGGGGGAAGAAGAGGAGGAAGAGGGCATCCTGGAAGAGAAGCCCAGAGGTCAGGGAAGTAAGGAAGGCAAGGGTGTAGGCTGTACATCCTGAAACACCAAAGTGGTACCCCTCACCTTTCCATCTATAGTGCTGGTCCCAAACAAGGGCCAGGTAGATTGACAGCCTGAAGAAAGTGTTATATACCTGCCTTCTGTCTTCCGTCCAGAGAAGAACTTGCAGGTAAGATCACCAGGTCACAGAAGGCTTATTTCCCTCTCTCCTTGGTGACCACAGACCAGCCTTTTGAAGATACTGACAAGTTCCACTCTGCAGCCCGGGGGCTCCAAGGCCTGGCATACTCTTAATTATGGTAGGTGTTCATCTCAGTTTCTCTCTCTCTCATTTAGCCCTGGAATAGGCTTGGCAGGGTTGGGGAATTGGGATCCAAGTCTTTCTTCCTTCTGCCTGTCTTCTATATAGCTGATTAAGGTACATGGAGAGAAGTGGTTTCATATCCCCCTTGCAGCCAACCTTCCTCCAAGATTTTCTTCTTTCCTTCTTGTCCCACCAGGTCTGCAGGTGCTGCCCCTAATGAGGCTGGACTGGAGGTCCTTCTGGATTCACGTTCATGGCTGGGATGGCAGCACAAACAGATATAGGGTCAAGACTTTGGGTAGACCTCAATCCCTGGGATGCACAGGGAGAGGCCTCTGTGCTCAAGGGCCCCACATACCCATAGACCCTCATACTTACCTCCCTTTCTTGGGGCACATTAGAAGCCCAGCACTGTGAGGATGCTCTTGGCAAGAGAGCATCATAGGGAGGTGTTGGGATGTCGGGCCTTACCCACTGGATTGGTTCCTCTGTAAGAGATGGGTTTTGTAAAGACCAGAGATGTTGGTAAGATGAGCAAGACTTGGGAACTACGGGAAAGAGGACAGCTCAGGGAGAGGTGATCTAGACGAGGTCCTATTTGCATCTGACTCACCTCACCTCGCCTTGCAGCCACCTTCTCTCATGAAAAGGTGGTATCTAGCCATCTCAGGAGGTCCATTCAAGCTCCCATGGAGCTGCCCACAAGCCACCAGACCCCAATGGCTGCCCCCACTTCGTTTGAGAGTCGCACATTCATGCAGATCCTGTCACGCTCCTTCCGGGGGTAGTGGGGGATTTAGGCATGGAAGATGCACAGAAGGATCTCCTGAATTTTGACTCTTACCCAATGGATGTTTCATGAATTTTGTCCCCTACCACCACACACC